GTCAGGTCCCTGGGACAAAGCTGCTGTGCCCCTTCCTGTTTGGCTAGCAGTTAATCTTCACAATGAAATTCCAGTTCCACATGCCTGTCCAGCCTGTCACCTGCTCTCTGATTCTCCTCTATCTGGTCCAGCTCCAGCTCCAGCTCCAGAGGGTCCTGCAAGCTCTGGGTTCTCAGACAGCCACACCAAACCCCGCCCATTTTGCATAGGAGAAGTCCGGGCCTTAGGAAAGGCGCTGGTACAATGTCACATAGAGTGTCTGTGACTGGATGGCCCCATCCCTCCCTGATTCCTGGGCACTGCCTCTTGGCACAGGGTCCCCCAAAACATCCAATCTAGTGATTTTATTTATTTTTTAGCTGCAAAGCTCCCATATATGAAATATGATCCACAGACTGAGGAGACTGAGGTCTAGGAAGGGACTTAGTCAGGTCCCACCAGGTGCAACAAAAGAAAAGGGGCTGTTTAGTTCTGGGTACCTGGCCTTCCAATGTCACAGAGCTGGCTAGAGTAAGGGGCCACCAGGGCCACAGGACCAGCATGATGTGTGTGTCTAAGGGTAGAGCCAGGACCCATGGGGGAAATTCCAGACAGCAGATCTGGAACAGTCGAGGCTGCCTGAGCACGTTTCCCTGCTCCTAGGGGTAGGCAGATAGGGGCTGGACAGCCACTTGGCCATGGGGAATTTACTTGGTCCCTGACTTTCTTTTGACATCCCCCCCCCACCACCACCACCACTTGCTCAGTCCCTGCCCAGTGCCCCTGGACCAAGAACTTGTTTTCCCAGCACCCCCAGGGTATGCCGCAACTTTCCTCTCCATCTCCCCAAGGTGTGCCCCTCCTTTCCCACTGGGAGACCAGGAGACTCAGAGGCTTGAGCTTCTTTCCCTGAGTCACCCACTTCTGGGCACTGCAGTTCAGCAGTTGTGAGCTGAGTATCTACTGTGTGCTAGGCCCTATCCCAGAATGAATCCTGAGCAGGACCTAAGCCCTGCCCGATGACCTAGGAACTCCTTGAGGCCTGGATAGTGACTGTCAAGCTCATGGTGGTACCTCAGGGCCTGGCACAGAGCAGGTGCTCAGTGAACATCTGTGTAATGAACACACAAATAAATGAATCAATGAATGGGAGTTGAAGGGAAGGATCATGGGTCCAGAGCTAGAGACCTAGCTTCAAATCCTAGCCCTGCTGCTCATGACTTAGAGCACTGACAAGGACTACCACCCTTTATTAAGTATCACCTGTGTGCTTCTCCGACCTTAGAATTCCAAGGACTCTCATGAAGGCATTGTGAACCCCTTTTCTGGATGAGGAAATTGAGGCTCAGAGAAGACAAGTTAATGGCCCCAACTTCTCCAGAAATATTTAGAACCCAATTTCCATCACTCCTACCATGGCATGTATTTTTCCTCTGCCCATGGTCCTGACACTGCTGTCCCCCACAGGTGGCCTGAGTGTGGGTGACTTCCGGAAGGTGCTGATGAAGACGGGGCTAGTGTTGGTGGTGCTGGGTCACGTGAGCTTCATCATAGCAGCTCTACTCCATGGCACTGTGCTGCGCTATGTGACTGCCCCCCACGATGCTGTGGCTCTGCAGTACTGCGTGGCCAACATCCTCTCTGTCACTTCTGCCATCGTGGTATGACTGGGCTGGAGGGGGCTTGAGAGGTCTTCAATGAGTCTCCACCCAGAGCCTGGGATGGGCAAGTAGAGAGTCCGAGCACTAGCCCCTGCTCCACCACTTACCAACTGCATGAGCCACTCAACCTCTGCCTCAGCTTCCTCAGATGTAAAGTGGGATCATAACAGCGTCCAGCTCAGAGGGTCCTGATGAGTATTGAATGAGATCATCCACATAAAGTGCTCAGCACAGTGTCTGGCACATGCTCAGTGCTCACTACTGTGAACTGGGAAGGAAACTGAGGCTCAGAGAAGACAAGTTATAATAATAATAGAGAAATAGGCAAGGCTCCGTTGGACAGAAGGAGCCTTGGGAGGGTTCAGGAGGGTTCACAGAGGTAGAGTCCCCTGTGCTGGATATTGATGGATGAGTAGGAATTCACAGATAGGCTGCAATCACCATAACCCAGGTATGTGGCACGCTGGGGCCAACAGGTAGTAGAAGAGGCTTGGAAAGCATTCCAAGTACAGAGAATGGCAGGTGCAAAGGTATGGAGGTGGGAATGGCTAAGAGCTATTCTGGAGACACTGAAAAAAAAACAATTTATCAGAAGCTTGGCATTAGGCCTTGGTATACAGTAAGTATTGAATAAATGATAGCCGTGATTATGGCTGGATGTCAGTACCTATTTGATGAATACATGAATGAAAGGGCCCCATATTCTCGAATTCATAAAGTTCCTTCCCACCTAGTAAGAGAGGTGGCCGCAGCCTTTGGGCAACATCCCCACATCAGTATCTGAGTTCCTTTCCTGCCACCTCCTGGCTAAGGGATTTATTTCTCTCTCTAAACCTGTTCCCTCCCCTGCATAGTGAAGCTCATCCAGCCTGCTGGGCCCCAAGGCTTGGGTGAAGGATCTCAGGCCCTGGCGAGTAGCAGAGCCTCAGTGGGACAGGGCCGGGCCCTGCAGATGTGTGCGGTGTCCCTTGGAGTTACTATTACTGTTGTTTGTTCCTCTCACCATCGAAGGCAGGGAAGGCAGTGAGCTCGGGTTATGGGCTGCAGGCTGGACCACTTCCACTTTACCCTCATTTCCTCATTTAATTCTCACTGTTCACGGCAACATGCGGCCATTATCCAGACGGGTAAACCAAGACTCGGGGACTCACCCCGCCTCCTACTGATATGAAGAAGCCAAGCTGGATTTGAAAGGCTTGTGTCTGACACCAAAGCTAGCGTCTTTCCCATAAGCTCACCCTGGAGAGCGGGACTTAGCCCAGAGAGGTTGAGGCGCCTGCTTATGGCTACACAGTGAATTAAAGACATTGCTGGGTTCCTATCACACCATCTGCGCCCTTGGGTGCAGCCCATGCCCCATACAGTGAGGGCTCAGGGAGGAAGCCTGGCTGAATGGAGCTCCCAAAAGATCCAGGGGGCAGCTGGTAGGTTAGACACTCACCTCCTGGGGCTGAGGGTGGTTAAGGGGTCCTGCAGGAGGAAGAACCCAAGCAGGTGAGGAGGAGCAGGAAGGGTGTTCCTGAGAGGGTGCTTTGTGGGCAGCATCATGGGCAGGCCGTGTGTAGGTGCCCATATCCAGGGCAGCGAGGAAGAGACTGGCCGGGGTGGGGTTGAGAAGCTGATGGGACTGAAGCCAGGTCACTGAGAGCCTGAGATAATTTACTCCTAAGATTTTGAATTCTACTCCATAAAGTTTCCTAATTTGTTTATTTTGTTTTTAGTTCCTTGCCGGTTGAGTTAGTTTCTTTCAAAATCGCTTGCACTCCAGGGAGACAAGTCACGTATATCCTGGCACATGCCCCTGTGGCCCTGGATACACAGGTCCCTGTTTGAGATACAGAGCTGTAGGCAGTGGGGAGTCATGGAAAGTTGTAGGCAGGAAGTGATTGTGTTTTAGAAACATCACTTCAGAGCTGGACCATGAGGGGGCAGTGCCTCCATGCAGATCAAGGTAATGAGGCCAAGGCTAAGCAGAGGAGGAGGTAATTTGGAGGGCTCAGTTGGCATTGGTGGACTCCTTATCCCAGCGTGGCCCTGACCCCCACTGCCCACTCTCCTCCAGCAGGAGGGTCAGGGCTGACTTGAGCCTCCCCACAGGTCATCACATCAGGCATTGCAGCCATCGTGTTGTCACGCTACCTCCCCAGCATCCCCTTGGTATGTGGCACCTCCTGGGATGGGGCTGAGGGGTAGGAAGGGCCTGGCCTGCTTGGGGGGGTGAGCTGACCCCATGGGGGCCAGAACTGCCCATGGGGTTGAGCCTGATGTCCACTGACCAGTGATCTTTCCTATCCAGCGCTGGGCAGTGTTTAGCTCAAGCATGGCCTGTGCCCTTCTCTCTCTGACCTGTGCTCTCGGCCTCTTGGCCTCGATAGCCGTGACCTTTGCCACCCAGGGCCGGGCACTGCTGGCTGCCTGCACTTTTGGGAGCCCTGAACTACTGGCGCTGGCACCCGACTGTCCCTTCGACCCCACACGCATTTACGTGAGTGCTTAGGCCTGGGACGGGGCGGGGGTCATCCAGGTACTCATCAGAGGTGGGAAGGGTTCTTGGAGTCTTGCCCTCCACCCCCAACACCTGTGGTCATCTCTGCCCCCTGTGTCCTGCAGAGCTCCAGCCTGTGCCTCTGGGGTATCTCACTCGTGTTCTGTGTGGCAGAGAGCGTGTTTGCTGTGCGAGGGGCCCAGCTCGCCCACCAGCTGCTGGAACTGAGGCCCTGGTGGGGGAAAAGCAGCCACCACATGGTAAGGCCTGCCACCCCTTCCACAGCCTTGATTCCCCAAATTTTCTGGGGTCCCCTGCTGGGCAGCCCCCATCCTTCTGCATGGGGCTCCCACTTGAGAACTGGCGCAATAGTCTTCTCCCCAGGACCAAAGGGAAAGGCTTGAAGGCTCAGAGAGGTCAGATCTCCCAGCTAAGTCACACAGCTGGCGCCTGGTTCACCCAAGGCCCAGGATTTGAGGGAGGGAGAAGGTCATCTCGGCTTGAATTGGGGGCACTCCAAGGGTATGGTTTGGCTCTTGCTTGGTGGGCAATGCAGTGATGCCCCTTTGCTTCAGAGATCCTCCCATTTCCCTGGGTGTACTGGAGGAGACCCAGACACAGATCCCAAAGCCTGGCAGCCTCTTGTGTCTCCACAGATGCAGGAGAGCCCAGAGCCTGTGGAAGGCCATGACCTGGTGAGCTGCCCCAGCTCTCTGCCGCTGACCCTCTGACAGCTGATGCTGCACCCAGACCTCATGGCCACTGTGGCCCTGCAACCAAGTCTGCACTGTGACCAGGCCAGGATTCCTGGAGACTGCCCATGAGGGCTCAGTTGTCCACTCTGGGACCTGGGTGAGGATTTTAAACCCCTCTCCCGGCCACCCAGCCCACTGCACTGAAACGAGACTTTATTCTGCAGTTATTAAAAAGAACAGAGATGCTCCACAGGGATGCATGCAGCGGGGGAGGGGCTCGGCCAGGGGGCCTGTGCTTTCCCACGCAGGATGCAGTGGGGGAGGGGTGATCTGGGCATATCTGCCCATCTATCTGTGTGCCTGTGTGTGTGTGTGTGTGTGTGTGTGTGTGTGTGTGTGTGTCTGAGGGAGGTAAAATACACAGAGGGGTCTGTGGGTCTGAGTTCATCCAAGTGCTGAAAGGCAGGCAGGAGTTCATGGGACTCACAACTGGGTGCTGGAATTGAGAGGTTTTCCTTCTGCGGCAGAGCTGGAGCAGGAAGGGTTGAGGCCCTCCTGCAGGGAACGATTGATGGCTCGAGGAAGCTTCTTCCTTAACCCCCGCCCCCAATCCTTATCTCCCCTCTAAATAAAAAGACTGGCTCCACACCTGGGCTTGGCTCCTCACCTGGGTTTCCACCCCCCTCCCCCAGGCTGAGATCTGTAAGGGCGCGGGAGGGAAGCTTGCCCGGTGCTTGGTTGGGGAGGGAAGTCTGGCTCGTGGCTGTGCGGGGAGGGAGGGTAGTGGGAATTCCGATACCTGGGTGGGGAGGCTTGAGGGGAAGACAAAGCCAGATCCTGGGTCTCCCCATCACTGCTGAAGGGAGATACTGCCTTTTGGATAGGGGGGTGCTAACCGCTTGCTTGCGCCTTGGGGGGGGGGCTGCAGGGTTCCCTTTCCCATAGGCTGCGCCCCCGGAGTGCAGACCCCGGGGGCAGGGGCAGGCCCAGTCTGCCCCCCAGCCTGGATAGACACGAGGGAGAGGAAGCTGAGAGCCGGGAGAGGGCCAGTGAGGCGGGGAGGAGGGAGACCTGGCTGCTCTCTCAGAACTGGGAGGCGCTGCTGGGGTCGCACTGCAGCAGACGCACGATGGACGGGTCGCTTTTGGCCCCGCGGATGAACTCCTCCAGGGACAGCTTGCCTGCAGGGCGAGGGGAACAGTGATGGGGGCTGGCGGCAGCGCAGCGCGGG